AAAAAAAAAAAAAAAAAAAAAAACAGAGAGAGAATGCTAGCTTCCAGGGCTTGTTGTGTGACAAAGAGGAGTTGTTTAATGGTATAGCTGTTCAATTTTGCAAGGTGAAAAAAGTTCTAGAGAATGGCTGCCTAACAGTACAACAATGCAGACATATTTACACTACTAAACTTTCCACTCAAAATGGTTAAGATGGTAAGTTTTATGCTATGTATGTTTTATCGAATTTTTAAGAAACAAAGATGGGATACAGCTGCATGGTAGAGCACTTGCCTAGCATGTGCAAGACCTTTGGTTCAATTCCCAGCACTCCAAAATAAAAGTTAACATTAAAAACTATTCAAGACAGCGAGAGACTATTTCACACCCACTAGGATAATTATAATCAAAAACACAAATAATAAAATATGTTGGCAAGGATGTGAAAAAACTGAATCCATCATATACTGCCAGTGGGAACATAAAGTGGTACAACCACTTTAGAAAACAATCTGCCAGTTCTTCAAAAGTTTAAACAGAGTTACCACATGACTCATCAAACAGTTACCACGTGATTCAGCAATTTCACTCTTAGCTATATACCTAAGAGAAATAAAAACACAAAAACCTGTACATGAGCTAGTTACAGTGGTATCGGTCTATAATCTCAGCTACTTGGGAGGCTGAGGGAGGAAGATTGAAAATTTAAGACCAGAAAAGTCAACTTACTGAGACCCTATCTCAAAAAATAAAAAGGACTAGGAATATAGCTCAGTGGTAGAGCACTTGCCTAGCATGTACAAGGCTCTTGGTTCAACCCACAGGATGGCCAGACATGGTGGCTCAAGTCTGTGATTCTTGAATTCTGGAAGGCTGAGGCAAGAGACCACAAGTTCAAGCCCAGCCTGAGCAATTTAGCAACTTAATGTGACCCTCTCTCCAAATAAAAATTTTAAAAAACAAAATAAAGGGCTGGGGCTATAACTCAGTGCAAGGGCCCTGTCTTCAATCCTCCATATCACACAAAAAAGTGACCAGTAATGGAAAATAAACTATATACAAACATCCATAGCATCATTATTCATAATAGCCAAAAAGTGGAAACAATCAAAATGTTCATCAAAGAATAAATGGCTAAACAAAATGTATATTCATACAATGGAATATTCACTCATTACAAAGTATGATATATAGATACATGCTACAACATGGATAAAACTTGAAAACATGATATGAAATAAGTCATAAAAGATCACACATTTTGTGATTCCATTTACATAAACTGTCCAGAATAGGAAAATTCAGAGACCAAAAATAGATTAGGGGTTGCCTAGGGCTGGGAGAGGAAGGGAAGGAAAGAAATCAAGAGTGTCTGTGAGGGTGAAGGGAAGGCAAGGACAAGGGGAAAAAATGAGAACCAAGACATGTCATGTGAAGGTACAAGATCCTAGTAATGAATGTAACTGTATTTTAGACCTAGATTGTACCAATAAACTCAATAAAAAAGAAAAAAAAAAGAGTGTGTGTGAATGGGTGTGAGGTTTTTTTTTGGAGATGATGAAAATGTTCTAAAATTAACTATGGTGATGAGCTACATTATGAAATACTGAAAACTACTGAACTGTGTATTTGAAATCGGCAAACTCTATGGTATGTAAATTATATCTGAATTAGCTTCCCCATTGCTGGGTACAATACTTGACACTTGCAGCTTAATAGAGGAAAAGTTTAATTTGGCTCATGATTTGGGGGTGTTCAGTCCATAGGAACATCATGGAAAAAGGCATGGTAGAATAAAGCTTCTTAGTTCATGAAAACTAGAAAGAAATCAGGGAAAACTATGCAGAGACAAATGAACAGGGAGGGACCATATATAATACCCAAGCCAGGCAGACAAATCCAGGAAGGTTCTTTACTAATCTAGGCATTTGTTAATCCAATGAAATTGACACATTGGGATCAATAGTCACAATATCTAAACAAAGCTATTACATATTTTAAAAGGAAGAGATGGACAATAAACTTTCTTTTTAACTTTCTCTATGGGCAGTCACAAAAATGGAAGTATTTGCCCAAGTAAATATTCCTAAAAGTATGTCAAGGAATTAAGACAATTTTCACATTGACAGACCTTCATTTAAACATTAGAAAAATTCCCATTTCCTCTGAAAAATCACCTCTGAAGGCTTATAATCAACTGAGTTCCCCACTACTGGGTAATTTCCTACTTTGCTACAAAGGGAAGAAAAAGAGAACTATTTTTGTAACTATAATGTGACTAGGACCTTATATGTGTTATTTTGTTTCTTATGCACAACAGTGAGAGGTGAAAATTATTACAGTATTAACTTCTTTTTTCTGGTACCAAAGATTGAACTCAGATCTTGCACTTGCAAGGCAGGTGGCAGCACCACTGAGCGAAATCCCCAGCCCTTACAGTATTAACTTTTAACAGATGAGAAAACTGAAGTGTAAAGAGGTTAAATAATAAATATTAAAATTGAGCACAAAATTTTCCCTTGGTTTCTAAAACTCTTTTCTTCCCTCAGTATGCCATTAAGCTTTAAAATAAAAAAACAGAGCTGAGTCCTATAGTCCTATAGTCCTATAGTCCAGCTACTCAGGAGGCCCAGGCAGGAGAATCCTGAGTTCAAGTCTTCCCTGGGCAACATTGCAAGGCTCTGACTCAAAAAAAATAGGCTTCTATATATACAGCAATGGTTAAACACAAAAGTATTTTTTACTTATACATTAGTTAAAATAACGACTCATCAAAACTTATCGTAGTTAGTGCCGGGGATTTAGCTCAGCAGTTCCACTGCCTGCCTTGCAAGCGCAAGGACCCAAGTTTGTTCTCCAGTACCAAAAAAAACAAAAAACAAAAAACTTATCATAGTTCAATCTGTATCACCAAAAAAATTATCATAAACAAAATTATCTTTATACCAACCTGAACATCCTGTATATCAGACACAGACTCCCTGTTGATATTTGCTATGTCCATGAAGAGTCTATCAATTGACTCAGGTATATTATGTGAATCATCTGTTATGATCAGGTTTTCAACAATTTCTGAAATAACAATGAATGATAAATGTGCTGTGAGCTATCACCATTGGTTAAATATACAGATTATTTGAAAACTTGTTCCTATATCTTTGGCCAAATTACTATAACATAAAGGAACTTGAAATAATCCTTAGGATAAAAACTGGAAATAAAGTTTCTTTTAGCTATGGTATGATACAGTTTTCAAATAAAATTCATATTTCCTGGAAGTCACTTGTTTATAATTTAATCATCATTACTCATTCTCAGAAAGTAAAATGCATTGTCTTTACAAAAAATAATGTTATTATAGCTAAATCTTAAAACTACAAAACACAACGTCTTTAAAACCAGGAAATGCAGAAATTCTGAAAGGAGTTGTGAACATGTGCTCTGTAAAACTCAAATATTTATTAATATTTTCAAGCATTAGATTGACATTAATTTGTGTTGGCTTGGAAGTCCTGCCCTTACTTTGTAAGGAAAAAAAATGCCTAATTAGAGCAACATTAACCAGTTATTGAATCTATAAAACTGATGTCACTGTTTTCTAAACTGTCTCAACACCAGATCTTCCATATAGCTAAATCTTATTAGGCCATAGAATTCCTTACAACCCAAGCATGATACACAATCACAACTGATGCCCTTCATATTATCAGAACTGAGGGGTTTTTCCCAAACACATGTAACAGAAATGTCCATAAACTACATGTCTCTAATTTCTTGCAACATTTCTGAACACCAAACTAAGAGGATGTTAAAATTCACAGCAATACTATAATAGCACCTTCCAAAAGATTTTTAAGCTGCTAAAACAGATTGTTTGGTGCTAGAGATGGAGTCTAGGGCTTTGTTCATGCTAGGCAAGCACTGTAGCACTGAGGTACACTGCCAGCTGCAATGAACAGTTTTTTTTTTTAAAAAATAGATCAGCTATCAAACTTAAGAAAACAATGAATTTTAAGAAACCATCAATCAGCTATAAACATTTTTCCATTAAATGTCAAAAAACAGATTCAAGTAAAGATTTCACACAGCAAATTATGTTCAAATGTTTTTTAGAGCACAAGAAATTTTTAGTACACACTAAACAAGTAGAGATATTAGGAAAAACATAACTTTTTTTTTGGCAGTGCTGGGGATTGAACCCACGGTTTCACACATGCTAGGCAAGCATTCTACAACTGAGCTACATGCCCAAACCAGTTACAAAATTCATTTTGGGACAGCATCTCACTATGTTTCACTGTCTCAAACTTGCAGATCTTCCTTTTTCAATTCTGGTGTATCTGGGATTGCAGATGCGTGTTACCACACCCAGAAATACCACACATACTTTGAACATTTTAGGAAATAAGACATATGGAAACTCCTATCTTTGTTATGCCTGACCTGGTTGAGACTCTCTAGGCAAATAGGCCATTCTCAATAAACAGGAACCACTAAAGAGCCACACTGTCCTGGATAAACAAAACAGATGGCCTTAAAGAAAATTTAGGACAGGATGTACAATCTTCCCAGTGCTAAGAAGTCTTATAGTATCTACACATTTTCATTGACTGTTCTGAGAATCTCCTCCACAAGCATTCCACCCCAGATTCCTTAAAACAGTACCCCCTACCCTCAAACCCTATAAAAACTTTCTTCCTCTCTGGCCAGTTGCTGACATCCTTCTTGATCTCAGCCTATCTGCACCCAGGTGGAATAAACTAGCCTTGTTGCCCCCATAAAGCCTGTGTCTGGGTGGTCTCTCGTGCATTGTTTGTCACAATCTTCCTTTCTCCTATAAATTCTTCTTTTTTTTTTTTTTTTTATACCGGGGATCAAACTCGGGACCTCCTTGGTAGGCAGGCAGTGGAACCACTGAGCTAAATTCCCAGTCCTCTCCTATAAATTATTTAGTGGAAAGAGTCATATAAAATATCTTGGACAGAAGTGGAATAGGCCAAAAATAGTCCAGGTCCTTGTGTACAATGAGGAAAGAATTGCCAAGCATACACCTAGTAGAAAGTAATAAGAAGCTAAATTTATTGAAGGTCATGGGAACTTGTGCTCAGGGATAGTCCACGCCAAGAAAGGTATAACACAGACCAATAAAAGTGCCAGGATGACAGAAAAGCACTGAACACAGGTCAAAAGTACCAAGAGCATCAGCAAAAGAAGGGCTAGCCGGGTATGGTGGCACACGCCTATTATTCCAGCACTCAGGAGGCTGAGGCAGGAGGATCACTGTGAGTTCAAGACCAGCTTGAGCTACATAGTGAGTTCCAGGTCAGTCTCAACTACATGGTGAGACCCTGTCTCAAAAAAACAAAACAAAAAAAAAACAGAGAAAAAAGGAAGGGCTGATAACACAGGCTTTCAGAATTTAAAGGGTAGACACCTCTGCTTTAGGTGCCTCCCACTGAATCTCTAGGTGTGATTGACAAGAATGGCTGACAGGGTGCTGAGTCATCTTAGGGGCTCTTAGCATGCATGCTTATCCTAGAATTCACTGATCTTAATTATACTTATGCTATACAGGACACATTTATGAGCCTGTAATGAGGTAGAAGTAGGGTAAATGTAACTGAGTCAGGAGATTCAATGCCCATGTGCTCTTGCTTGGAGCATCAGCAATCTCCTAAGTTTTTATCACTTTATTTTCTACCTCTCCTAGGATGATGGAAGCAGGAATAGCTAGAGGGTGCTGTTTTGAGCTAAATGAAAGAGTGTGACATTTCAGCTCCACTGTTTTTAACTGTACTAAGAGATATAGCTCAGTGGAAGAGTAATTCCCTTCCATGAGCATGGCTGTGGGTTCAAAATCCACAACCCAAGAAAAAAAAGGCTCTTCCAAGATCAGGTAAGTTTATATTGTGTTGGGGAGTATATATTATAGTCCTTGCTTGAAATATTGATAACATATTGGGTCTAGTAACGTAGCCTTGTAATCCTAGCTACTGGGAAAGCTGAGGCAGGCGAATGCCAAATTTGAGGCCATCCTGAGCAACTTAGGGAGACTTTAATCTCAAAATTTAAAAAGATCTGGGGATGCACCTCAGTAGTTGAGCACCTGCCTAGAATATTGCCCTGGGCTAAGCATACACAGAGAGGAGGGGGAGGAGAGGGAGAGAGAGAGGGAGAGGAGGAGGAGAGGAGGGGTAGGAAGGAAGAGGGAAATTGGGGAAGTTTTGTGGTTTTATTTTTTAATGGTACTAAGGATTGAATCCAGGGCCTTTGCACTAATATTAGGAGTACCTAGTATTTATAGGCATGCACCATCACACCAAATGAGATCAAGGAAGATTTTTAAATAATGTTTGTAAAAACTCAAATACTGTTTTATTTTAAAAGAGATATTTTTCTTTTAGTGGTATTGGAGATCAGACCTAGGACCTCCAGCATGCTAGACTCTACCATTGAGTTACACCCTCATCCCTGAAATGTATTTGAAAAAGAAACAAAAGCCCAATATAAATGTCTAATTTAAGTTTCTTTTTTAAAAAATTCTAGGATACTGTTGTCAAATACCAATCATAATTTCTGGTTACAGTACATGAAATTATTAGGATAATAATTTTGATTTGTGAAAGTTCTCTTAAGTGGTTAATGTTTTATATAACTTACTTTTGTCAAAATATTTCTAGTCCTTCCAAAACATTTTCAATGTCATTCAGTTGAGCAACTTGACTAACATGAGCAGAGGCCATGACAGCACTCCAGTCCTTTAGGAAGAAATGCAGTCAACAAAGATGAGAAGGTAGTAAAGATCACATAGCTGAATGAGAGTTACACTAAGGAAGAGATTTGCTTCTGGAAACTCAGCCAAAAAACGCTCCTGAGATGTGAAGACAATATGCTGCATTAAGATTATATTAAGCAAAATTGTGCTTTTTGGGCAAAAATGGTTAAATTATCTTCCTGGCTATTGAAATACCTATGATTTATAAGATAATTTCAATTTATTCAATTTTTAAAAGATTGATTCTAGTTAAAACTAGAAAGTAGCTCAATTGCAGCAGCCACGTTAATCAGTATCAATTCATTCTAATTAGACCACATTTTAGGTACAATGTAAAGAAAATAAACATTTTCCCTGTCCTTGAGGAAGGGAGCTTCTGTTAAGAAATGAAAAAATCTCTCAACAGCCCTGCCAAGACTCTCCCTGTGACCTCCATCAGCTCACCCAGTCATTCAAAAGTCAAAGCTGCTCTAAGACCTGCCAGGGTCAATTCAAAATGCTACTCCAAGTCACAATGATTATATGCAATTTCTTTAGTGAGAAAAGCATGGAGAAAATGAAAATAAAATTAATTTTTGCACAGTGCTTTACAGTCTCAAAGCTTTTTCATATGCATTCACATTTAATCTTCTATCTACTCTACAAGGAAGATATTTTAATGTTATAATACTTGGAAGCATGTACAAGGCCCTAAGTTCAATATTCAGCACTGAAAAAAAATAAAAGTAAAAGTAGAAAATTAAATTTAAAATGAATTTCTGAAGAGGAATAGAAAGTAGCAAGCTAGGACTTAAAATGAGGCTTTCTGATTTGAAATTCTATATTTCACACTGGTTATACTAAGAAGAGGGTGCAACAAATGACAGATCAAGATTCTGAGACAACTGAAAAACAGCAGAAAGAACTGCAGCAAGACTATTCAGAACATTATATTATGGCTCTGAAGAAAAACTTTTCTAACTATAGAATCTGGTTTGAATGAGAGCAGCCAAAACCTAAAAGTGTCAAAAGAGCATGACTCGCTCAAACAGGTTCAGTCAAACAATTTGCATTGCAAATCATAGTTTCTATCTGTTATCAAGAAGATACTCATTTTTTATATACAGTGTTCCAGGAAGTCCGAAATGACAAACTGGGTGTGGCACAAAAGAATGCGAAGAAGTCAGAATGCAGAAGTCAGAACCCTGCATGCACCATAGTTCGAAAAGACATATTCACAGTAATGTGTTGCAATTCTGAGCAGTGTGTCCTCATCAGAGAGGACAACTAAAGAAGGATGTAGGGACAATGACATAGC